GTTTTAATTATCTAATTTCTAAGACTCCTCCCCTTTCTATCTGTGTTATAAACAGCAACGTTGTTCTTACATGGATACTTTACCTTTTCCTCATCTCTGAGGTTATTAGTAATAACGTCAAAGGTTTGTTTCCAAGATGTTCTACTTTCCTGTTGCTTGAGCTTCTGCCTTTCATATTATAAATTTCCCTCAAATGTTTGGTGATCTTTGGCTCATATTTAGGAGTGGACGATGTAAAGGCTAATTGGATATCGTGAATTGGGCTAGGGCTTGTTAACTTTGGGGTTTACTATTGAGTGATCAGACTGTCATTTTATTAGGAACGCCTTGATAATCTCTCTCCCCCCTCCCCTTTCCTAAACTGGTCAGATTGACCAGAAATCTTTGTCCACTTTCCTACCTGAAGGGTAACAAACCTGGCTGCCAGTGTTTTGAGATTCCAGTGAGGGAAGACAGCTGAAGGTTCTGAATAAGTACTTTGTTTGCTCTATGCCTATTGAGTACAAAGACTACCTTTTCTTATCCACTTCAGGTAATCCCTAGTTTTCTGCCAGGAATGTAGGGTTCTTTATCAGTACAGAGGAACTTCTTGGGGTTTAACTGCTTGTCAAACAGACTTTGAACCAAGCCTCCTAGTCCTTTTACCTCTTTTTTTTTTTTTTTTTTTAAGATTGTTTGTGTTTGACAGACATCGAGAGAGGGAACACAAGCAGGGGGAGTGGGAGAGGGAGAAGCAGGCTTCCCGCGGAGCAGGGAGCCCAACGCGGGGCTCCATCCCAGGACCCCGGGATCATGACCTGAGCCGAAGGCAGACGCTTAACAGCTGAGCCACCCAAGCGCCCCTTTTACCTTTATTTTTAAAGGTACCTGAGCTGTCGATTGCTGGGCCTTTGGGAGGTTCTCTGGTACAGTGAGATACTCTCATTGCTGATAGCATATTTGGTTTTCTTGTCTGTTGAGCCCATTACCACTTGTTCATAAGCTTTGCAGTTTTCCAAGATTCTGTTGCTGTTTCCTCTCCCATTCTTTGTCCTCATGGTTTTTAAATGTCCGCGCCGTCGCCCTCTCCCCCCCGCCCCCAGCTTTTTAAATTACTGGGATTTAGTAGGATTTCAGAAGGGACTAGAAGTGATACGGTCTATTTTTTTAACGGCCCTTTTTTGTGTGGGGGTGGATGGTGAAGCAAGGTTTGGGGGGAACATAAAAGGGCAGGTAATTTAAAATATGGGTAGTAGTGTAGAACAGTACCTTCAGAATTTGGCCAACAAAGTAAATTTTACAAGTTTGCTAGTATTTTATAGAATGAATTTATTAATGGACAGTGTTAGGTAGCTTTGATTTAAGTTCACCAGTTTTGTAGATTTACCAGAGCTATCAATCCCACTTCTTTTCAAGTAATGTGTGAGCTTCCTTGGTCTGATGTCCTAGTTCAAGTTTTAATACCTTTTGCTTTACTAGATGTATGCTACCAGGTGAGTTATTATCTCTCGGGGTTTTGGGTTTGTCTTTTATTCCTTTCTTCACCTTCAATGAGTTTTATAAGGTTGCAAGTTTTGTTTACTACGTAATTACTTCCACACTGGGTTGGCAGTTGCTTCATTGTTGTATACAAGTTAGAATACATTATGTGGTGTTTCTGTCCAGGTGTTATTCATGCTGAGATAATTTGAAAGGTGGTTTCATTAATACTAGGATCCAAGTTATTAGACCTTTGCGTTCTGTATGTGCTTCTGTTTTTTTACTGCTTGAAGAAGTTCTTTGAAATTGTTATCTTGTCCTTTAAAAAGTACTTTAGGGTCTTGAGGTATTGGGAATTTTGAAAACCAGAACTGAACCCACTATCTACCACAGCATTTGTTTTGGTTCTGAAATGCATAATTTTATTTGGTTTGGGGTCAGATTAACCTGAAATGTCAAAATCTAGGTCCATATATAATATACTAACACATCTCAGTAAATTTCTTTGGGAGCATTTTACTTAATGTAATTTATCAGCATTCTAGCATTTAAGCATGACTCCAAACTATTCATGAAAACTGATATTTACTGTCGACTTTTGACAGGCTGAGAGTGCATTCTTTATCCCTTCTTCACTGCTGACCATGTTTGAGAGTCCAGCCTGAAATTTCCACAGCTAAAATGATTCTGGCAAGACTGAGTATCCGCTTCCGCAAATTGAATCAGCCTGGCTTATTAATTGTGGTTAGTTGCCTATGATCTGGTAAATTCGGGAAGGGTTGATTATAATCCTCCTCATTTCAAAGAGGCCTGCAGCCCATTTATCTCAGAATCAGAATTGTTTGGGACTGTTGCCTGGGAAGTTGTGTATCACAACCCCCCTCCAAGTGCTCTTAGCTACACTAAAGTTTTACATATTGTCCCTTGAAGATGGTTAAATATGCTATTTCATAAGGATTTTTTGTTTTTACTTTTATCTCATGTAAAGACAAAGGTGCATGTTCCATAAAACTTAACACCACTCAAGTCTTCGTCATGAACTCCTAAGTCTAGCTTGAAAAAAAAATTGGAAAGACTTTGTATCCTAGTGAGTGTACAAGATGACAGTGAGCAGTAGTGTACCAAGTGGGGTAGGGGATGCAGGAGTAGCAGTAGCCT